CTCTCTCTAAGACACGCCCCTGCAGCAGTCAGAGGGTGGAACAGTTAGCAAGCTTAGCATGATCGTCTGTTGACCTTCAAACTCGGGTGGGGAGAGCTGACTGCTGCGCTGCTCTCTCTCTCTCTGCCTCTGGTGAGGAGGGGGGTGAAAAATCCTCCACCTCAGACGTTCAGAGATGTAACTATCTGCGATACTGTGGTCACTCTCCATGTAGCATCAATTATGCTAATGCTAGCTGTCACGTTCTCTCGTCCTGGCCACACCTCCGCTCTCTAACCCCCCTTCCCCTACCCACACCCCCTCCCCTATCCACTTTGATGCATTTTTCAAATTTCGCCTTGGGGCGGAGTTATCTTTTCACRGGGTGGTAAGATACACTTTAAAGTCWATGGACAGCTGTGAATGGMTAAACACCTACAAATAACAGCAGATTGAAGTTAGATATAAAAGTCTAAAGTATCTCAGCTAATAAATAAGATGAATAAATATCTTTGAGGTACATTATTAGTCAAAGATCATGTTTCACTATGCAAGGAATTCAATATGTTGCCTCAGGGTTTAACTTTTTTGCTTTGGTTTACCAGCCATTCCTCTTTATATAAAAAAAAATTCACTAAAACTGTCTCCGTAAACATTCACATATGTGTTGTAGCATCTCACCTTCATTTTGAAGTTTTGAGGCTCCAACGATTGCAGGTATCTGTGGAAGAGTTCCCTTATTGTTCTGTAGACGAGCAAATATTGTTCCTGAGGTTAAACAAGAAAAACCTGCCCTGTTAGAAGTCATAGCCCCGAGGCATGATGCAYAAAAACAAAACCATGAAACAATCTGGATGCTACAGAAAACTGGAAAAACGGAAAAACGTACAAACTTGTTTTTCTTGTTGAGAGATGTGCACTTGATTAATTACCTTAGTTTGAACCACYGAGGGTCTCTGGGTTCTCATGTCTTGAACTAAATTGTAGATATTGAAATTTGAGGAAATCATCTACAAACAAGCACACAAAATCACACACAGAGATGCATATTTTAATAATGCCACAGCATATTGTGCATAAAGAGCTCGGACAGAATGTCTCACATGTTTCCTGAGGAGGTTCCACGTGTAATCAATGACGATCAGAGCTCCTGTTCTCCCACAGCCGGCACTAAAACACAGGAGAAGTCACAGTTGTAGTTGATTTTGATCAGATTTATCAGCTAAATGGACTGTACGCCTTTCTATGCAACCAGGATACACTTTACAACACAATCTTTGCCCTTAAACACATTAATACAGCACYACAACAAGTCTTTACACAACTTTCAAATTTTGCACAACATGGTTATGTCGTCTGTAGTTATTTTTTTTAAAAATTGCAGTCAGTTAGCTGTTGCACGTCTGGGGCAAACACAAAGTAAAACTGATAAGTAAAGCGGTTTATGCAATGGCTGATAAAATCATGGTCCAACCTGATCTTGGATTTCCCCTTCAGGGTCAGAAATAAACAGATTCTTCAAACCGAGGTTGGTAAAAGTGCTATCTATAACAGGTTAGATAATAACTGTCAATTCAACTCAACTACTTTAGTTTTAGATGTAATAGCGTTTAAATTGCAATTATAAACAGTTGKTTTAATCCAGTAATAATTAGTTAATTAAACTCTGTTTATTGTGAAATTCAGTCAAATTCGTTTCTAAAATCTTATTCATGTTACAGGGTTCAAAACAAAAGCCTTTAATTCAAAACTGTTAGAGGAACTTGTTGAAATAACAAAAGGTGTTTATTTTAAAYCCTGTAATTTAGTATTAATTACAGCACCATTTTAAACCTGTCCCACTATGATTTTACTTAAGAATATTATCTGCAGAATCTTTTTTTAGTGTCTATTGTCTGAGCCAAATGAACGCGATAAAACTGAAAGTTTGGAGCACCTGTTCTCTAACTTTCACGCAACATTGTTTTTTATACATCACAAAGTGGGCGTAGAACCTGGCGCACGCAACTTTTTTGTGCGTACGCACCGTTTATACATGAGGCCCCTGAACACTGTTATGTTACGGGCATTAACAGGTCATCAGCTGGGGACCACCAGTCACTGGTATTACGCTCATTTAACCCCAGTACATCTCATGGTGGTGGAGCGATGAGTCTCTCCCTGTCACCCCCTGCTGATGCCCTAGATGTTACCCCTCAACTTCTGTCCTTCCTTCTCAACCACAGCCAGAAGCTCACATCAAATTTTAGCTCAACATCCGTAAATAATACTTGAGTTGTGGTTGATTTTGTGTTAGCTAATTTTTATTAAGCATCCCCAGTGAGTAGCCTTCGGATCATGTGTTGGGAATCACTCGGTCTCAATCAACACCAAATTTTAGCACAGTATATGTAAAATTGATTGAGCTTTAATAATTGTAGGGTTTTTCTTCATCTCACTTGGCTATGGTAGCCATTTAGGTTGACTTTTTAAAAGCTAATCAACTGTAAATTATCCAGTTTCCAAACTTGCAGACTGACTTTCTGCAAGTTTCAATGAAATTCACCCAGTGGTTCAGGAGATCCACTGACGCTACAGGCAGATTAACACATGCACCCACATAAGGGAAGAATTTTTTTTTCATATTGGTGTGGTAGTTCAACAGCCCGCTGAGAATTCTTTACAAGCAACCTTCCCTTGACAGCAGTGATGTTAAAATACATTTTAAGAAAATAAAAATCTCACATTATTTTTATAAAACAAAACTCTGTTTTGCACAAGCTGTTTTCAATCTCAGCACAGAATGAGCTGTGTTTCTGCACGTACGATGACTGACTTATTCAACAAATGAGTAAATTGATGTCATTTTCCAGTACTGACAAAATGTTTGCTTAATGTTAGCAGGTGGAAAACCTCAGGGCCAAGCCATCACACACATTTTAACATTAGTGGGCCGTTTGACGCCTGTGCACATTTCCTGTAGAACAGAAAAAGAGGAGGGGCTTCACCTCTCAGGTCTGATGCAGCGGACATGTACCCACTGCCCACAAAACACACCACTCCAGTCACAGTAAATGTGACACAAGGGTGTCTCATTTGTGTTCTTGTCAAAGGTTTTACACATCAAAGTGATCTAGACACATTTCAAAAATACAAGGTGCAGTTTAAAGCTGTAAAATTCAGGTCGTAGTTTTGTTCTTTTGATTTTCTCAGGTTTTTAATAAACCGCTTTAAATAGTCTAAAACAATTTAAAAAAATAAATTGAAGGAGTGTGTTTTAAAGGCACAGTGTGTAGGATTTTGTCGATYCTTTTAGCTGAAATTGAGACAATCACTAATGACAATAATAAAAAACATGTCAAATCATTGCAGACAAAAACCTTGTTTTATTATTTTTACCTTATAAAAAGCTGTTTATATCTCCATGGTCATGGGTCGCCACTACAGGCAGCCACCATCTTGCACCGCCATATTGTCTACGAAGGCTCATGAAGGACAAACTGCGGTGGCGGCGTCAAAAACRGTTTTAGTTGTAATACTATAAATGTCATATTTGTTGTCTGTCATTGTAGCTGGGATAATTTBACTTATTAAAGCTCATAATCTTACCACTTGAAACATCACTAGCCCTGAAGCTGCTGGTAGACATCGCGGTTGGAATTATCAAAGGTTTTTGACACCTGAGAGACACCGTAGCAACTCMTWTGYGTTTGGAAGCGGGGGGTGGGGGTGGGGGGAGGACCAGAGAGGATGATTCAACCACTCAACCACTAGATGTCGCTGAAAACAACAAATCCTACACACTGTGCCTTTAAAATGTGGTTTTGCTGATGGAGGTGTGATCTTGTTTAGTTTGAACCCGTTACTAGATTAAAAAAATCCACACAAAAAAGTAGCAATCCACAAACTGTGGAACAGCAGATCCAACAAATATTTGTATTTAGAAATGTTGAGAATTTGTCTGATTTAAGTGTATCAAGTCATTATTTATTTATTTTTTTAATCATTAGATTTCAAGTTGGAACTCTGGTTAAAAAACCAAATTATGTCATCAGGTTCCACTCAACTGAATTTAGTAAATGTGAGGCAACTTTTACATTTACTTTAAAAGTGAATGTGAAGTAAATGTGTTACATTTACTCAATTCAGATCCCTGGTCTGTATCTCTCCATCGGATCCTTCAGCCTCGCCAAAGCCCTTGGTTCCTGGTTTGCGGTCTCCTGGCTTTGTTTCTATTTCTGTCTCCTGGATCCTCGGGTTCCTGGCCTGCTATCAGTTTATTCWTTCTGTCTCTCTGTCCTGGTTCTTCTTCAATTTAGAGCTCATTGTCTGGCCCACCTGCAGTCCTTTCTGACTCTTTGATCCCAGTCTCCCTATTTCCTGAGTCTTCCATGGTTCTTGAGTCTTTCACCGTTTAAGTTTGGTGGGCCCCGGACCACCCGCCTGAACTCTTGCTACGCCTTGGCTGGGTCCTGGACTATCTGCCTGAACTCTCCCTCTTGTGAGGAGGACACACCTTGGGCGATCCTTTTTGTTACTGTTTCCTTTCGTTTTCCCATGTCTTTTCTTGTCGGTTTTTGGTTCATTGCTCTTGATTTTTTAGTACTCCCTGTTTCCTGTTGATTTCTGTCTGTGTTTTTCCAGCCCTCTCTGATCTTTGTTTGCAGTTCCTTGTAGTTTTCTCCATTGAGGTAGCAGATTTTTTGTTGCTTGTGGTTTGCCGCCTTGTCAGCTTTTGTTTGTTTCTTAATAAATTGCTTTATTTTTATACAGACTGTGCCTGCTTGTGTTTGGGTAGTTGTTTCTAGTCAAAACTCATTTTAAAGATATTCAGATTATGTTAAAAAGATCTGCCACACTGGATCTGACCCACCTAACTCCAAAGATTTTGACCACGAATAAGCAGGAGCAAGCTTGCCTGAGCGGAAAAATTCTGCATGGGAGAATGGGAAGGATTTTTTTTGTTTTGTTTTATTTTTTTTTTACTTTATTTAACCAGGTAAAACCCCACTGAGATCAAATCATTTGTAAGAGGGACCTGGGCAGAAATCTGCATACAAATACATTTACACTCACAAGGTTTTGGCATGATAATGCCACCATGCTGTGGAAAGCCAATAAAGTAAACCATTTGTCTTCCTCCTCCAGTGCTCTAACAAAAAAGCCAAGCCAGCACTTCCCAAATGTGGGACTTTTGAGTTGACACCACTGCAGCCATATCCCCTATTATGTTTCAGCCTGTGTGGGAAATATTGCACTGCTCTTTTAAGAAGAAAAAAAAAAATGCATGGTTGGCACAGGGCATGATCAAAAACAAAAACAAAAATAGGTCYTCTGGACGGGTTCTTCTTTAACGAAACGTTTTGTCTCTTCTCCAAGAGACTTCTTCAGTCTGAGGAGTTTCAGGTGAACTCAGCCTTATAAGCCCTGCCTCCACATGGACAAACAGGTTAGTCATATGCAAAAGAGAACCATCGGCCTCTTTTGCTGATTTTGCTGATCGTTAGTGCCTTGATTAACTCCATAGAGGGTCATGTGCCCCATCACCTGAC